GTGTGTGTGTGTGTGTGTGTGTGTGTGTGTGTGTGTGTGTGTGTGTGTGTGTGTTCCGAATACAAATTTTCGTTTTTGAACCGATCCGGACCAAACCTCACAGACATACACTCTGGAGCATTGCGGAGAACGTAGGGCACTTTATCCGGAAAAATGTCGATTGGTATTATCGATTTATTGGTTTTTTAAATTTTTTCACTGGGGTAAGTTGATATGCTGATTACAAATATGATAGCCACTTGAAGATTTATCGATTGACTCTATTCGTTTATTGATTTTTCGCAGTTTCTGGTCAAAGGCGTTGGAAATGGTGTACTGGGATAACATGATATGCCAATTACGAATTGATATCTCTTGAAAATTCATCGATCGATTCTATTGATTTTTCTTTTCGTTTTGATGAGCTGGGAGTTGATGTACTAGGGAACTTGGTATACTGATTACGAATTTGATAAGCACTCGAAGGCCTATCGATTTATTCCATCAACTTGGCGGTTTTTTGCTTTGAACTACTAAAAATTGGTGAACAGTGGTTTGTTAACAAACTGATTACGAGTATAATTTCATTTGAGACAATACGTGGTTTTTTTGATGCTACCAATTAATGCAAAGATGTGGTAACATGCTGAACAGTACGATGTTATTTTTTTCAGCCTAGTTTTATTAAGAGTGATTTTTACGCTGGAATCTTAAAATCTACTGTGCTCCCTTCAGAAAAAATTATCTTGAAACAAAGTACCATTGACTACTCTGAAAAGTAGCGTAGCCGGGTATGCAAGCTAGTGTTTTATAAAACGGACTTAAAGTCAAAGTTTTAAGCCATATCCAACGGTACAAATCCCATAGTGAAAACGATCGATTATGTTTCTTTGTAAGTAGTGCAAAACGGTAAATTGGTAAATAGAACATAAAACCTTGAAACTAAGCTTACGGTCTTCAGACGATATACTATCAACGACAAGAAAAAAACAAGCACTAATGGCATATTTCATTACTATATTAACTAGTGCCGCATTCACAACGATGAAGAGCGAAGGGGCAGCTGCACCCCCCAGCGTTAGAAACGCAACACAATTATTTCTTTTCTAGTAGCTCAACGACTAACATCAGCGTTCGAATGGAAGCAAGAGATAATCGACCGTATGTGATCTGCTTTGGTTTCTCGAATAAAATATTACGGGATTTCCGAAATTATGCTACCTCTAATTCTTTACTTGTTTCTTCTCTCGTCGAAGTCCTTCTTGTTAGTCTTTTCAAGCCTCTATAAAATATGTTTGTTTATGCAAGAAGAACA